CGCTTGGGCTGCGCCCAGCCACTCCACCGCACAACCAAGAGCACGTGCACGAGCTGCGGGACGGGCGAGCGGACAGCCGCGTCCATCTCGCCGTCGCGGGCACGTACGAACGGATCTTGGGCGCGCAAATCTCCTCGACGCGCCAAGCCGCGTCCACCTCGCCACACCTCCAGCGCCTCGCCGCCGCCTTCCTTGGGCCCGGCCTGGACTTCGCCGGTGGGGGCACTCTAGCGGCGGCGAGACGGGTGGGAGGGAGGGGCGGCGCTAGGGTTTCTCCCCCGTGTCGCCAAAGCAAGGTGACGCGGGGTGGGGAAATGATGGATATTTCTGTGATTCCGCTAGAGTTGCTCTTATACTGAAAATGTAAAAGAAAAAGAAAAAGAAGAAAGTAATTTCTCCTTTTTCTCGGTTCCACTTTCTGGCGGTGTTATTATTATTTTTTATGTGGGAGAGTGAGTCTTTTAGCGCACTGGGGTGGGCACTTCGCTGGGCCTTCCAAGAAAGCGCACGGCAGGCAAGTCTTGGTCGCCTCATCTCCTTGCGTACATAATCATTAACTTCCAGGTCAGTCGCCTTCACTGGATCTAGGGAACACACAGGCTCTTCTTCTGGCAATCAAAGGCTGCGTCGGCGCCGCCGTAGAAGCCGCCGTTGAGGAGGGACCGGGAGGGAGAAGCCGCCGTCGAGGAGGGGAGGGAGACCGGAGAGGTATGTATGCTTGTGCTACTGAAGCATGTTCTTGGAGTTTGGTTCGCGTGGGTGGGTAGTGTGAGCCTGAGATATGTCGGATCTGCTCCTGTTATTAAATGACCCGATGCTTTAGCTAGTTATTTAGCTAGTTACTACAAAATTGGGACCAGGCTTGAGATGTCAGATCTAAGCAATTACTACTCAAAAAATAAAATTAGTACTAGATCTAAGCTAGGGGATGAACCTGGATGATTTCAACGTACTAGATCTAGCCTATTGGAGATTTGCAGCTGGTGTGCTGCAAATAAATTTTTTTTCCCACAAAAAAAAAAGATTTGCAGCTGGTGTGACACATATGCACGGCATGGCAGGGCGGGGCACACACCATTATCTCCTAGGTATAGTTCAATATATCTCCTTGTCTGGTCAATTCGAGCTTGCTGCAGTCATTTCTGAATAGACTCGATTCTCTCGTCAAGAGTTTTCTTTGAAAGTCTTACCTAAACTCTTTCGGTTTACTATTAGGTGTTGTATGTATATCACTGATACCTTGTTGACCTTACCTATTCTGACTTTATTCTTAATTCTCCCAAAAGAAAGGGAATGGGAAACTTCGACTGTAACACTATGACATCTTGAATAAAACTCCCTTTACTCCGCAAAAAAAAAAAGAATCTTGTGTTAACTTATACGGAATACTCAGTTAGCTAGCTAGTTACTAAATTGTGATCATGTCGGTTATACTAGATCTAACCTATTGGTGGACGATATAGTGCGCCCTGCTCTGGTATGAGATTGTCATCCTTTCTTCTCTCTTTGGATAGTTATGACCTGCACTCTCTCCGTTTTTATTTAATCCGCGTATTAGCTTTTGTCAAAGTCAAGCTTTGTAAACTTTGATCAAATTTATAAACAAAAATATTAACATATACCATAACAAATCAATACCATTAGATTTATTATTGAATGTACTTTCACATCATATAGATTTGTTATAGTAAATGTTTGTACTTTTTTCTATAAATTTGGTTGAACTTTAGGAAGTTTGACTTCAATCAACTCTAATATGTGGAGTACATAAAAGCAGAGGGAGTACTAGATTAACCTATTGGAGATTACATATAATTTGCAGCAGCTGCTGCTGTGACACTGTGACCAAACGAGCGGTACTAGCACTCTTAATTTTTACGAGGAATATACCATGGTTGTTTGTCTAGGCCCCTTGACTGCAGGGGAGTATAGCTTGCTTGCCCATGATTATCTGTGAACATAAGTAACTCTACTTCCTTTGGTACATCTCATAGATGATGTACATACTACTAGAGCCGCTGGCCTCTACAAAATAACATTCCATATGTTTACAGGACGGCAGAAACCCGATTTATGAATACACAGTGGGTGCAGTAGGCTAAATTGATTTTCTATCTGGGGCTTTTGCAAGAATGTTGGATCAATGTTTGATGCCTATTATGAATACAAAATCAAACATTAAATGTTAGTTGCCTTTGCCAAAGGTCTTTCTAGAATCACACCTCTAATTCTGAAGGTTTATCGACTAACTTGTTTCGTTGATTTTCTGATGGTACGGTGCTGTTTATCTATCACCTGGGTATAGTTTTTTGATATTTGCCATGTCAACGTGTATTAGGAGTTATATGTATATGGAGTGAAACCTTGTTGACCTTACCTATTGTGACTTTATTGTTAATTCTCCAAAAAAAACAAAGGGTAAGGAAACTTCAAATTAACTTAGCTTATATTGCCATGACCTCTAATGATATGTGTTTTTTAAGCTTGATATATTCTACTTAAACAACAGAGAATGTAATCATACAGAAAATATGTGCATCTCTGCATTTTCACTATGGTGTAACAGGCTTTTGCCACTGGGTTTTGCATGCATGTCCTTTTTTGTCATCACTGTCTCACTGGCATATGGGCGTAAACACTGAAAAGGGGCAATAAGGAGATGAAAAATGGCTTAGTGGCAAAAAGGAATACTTCCCTTAAGTAAAATGTACAGTATAGGTGTATGTGTTGTAGCCTTTTTTTTTGTTCTCACACCTTTCTGTAATGAACATTGAAACAATATTCAACTATATGGTTTATACGTGTGCTTACTAGTTCAGACATGATAAGTTTGCCGTTAATGACATGTAATTGCACAACTACAGCAGAAGGCATGTGAGATCAGCAGCGCCCACATCGTCATTGTTTATATTTTGGCCAGAGTTGGATCACCGGTATCTAGTCACTCACTGACCAGCCAGGACAAGAAGCATCTCTCCTCCAACAGGCCATCAAAGTAAATAAAGAAGGTAACCGCTTCTTCATGCCGTGTCTCGCCCACATCCGTGTAGATGATTTCCTGTTTTCAATGTCATACTCGTTGAACCAAGCTTAATGTCGTCTATATAATTTCGGCAGTGCTCAATTATGGCCATGGCTTTGGCAATATTCAATGAGTATGCTGGGGTGCTTTCAAACGTCAATGCATGTCGTGAATTCTTCAGCTGGACGGCATCAGTCATAACGGCCACTCGTTCTTCACGGAACACCTCAGAGTTGCCATGCCAAGACAAGGCAGCTGCTCTACGACAGGCTGAAGAGGAAATTGAGCGGCTGGGGAATGCTATTTGGGAGCTAACGACATCAATGCCCAAGATGCTTGAGCTCATTGATCAGGTCGAGTTTCTAAGCCATAAGGAACATGTGGCTGCTCTCCTCCCGGGTATCAAGGCTGCAGTGTATGATGGAGAGGACCTGTTTGATGAGTTTGATTGTGATGCACTCAAGTTAAAGGTTGAACGCAGCAAGAATTTGGGTCCAGATCGATTGCATGACACCTGTTTGGAATTCTATGACACGGTCAAATCCAATGATCAGATCAGGAAAGTCAACAGAATTCATAAAAATCTAGAACATATCCATAAGCAGTGCAGGCATATGCGCTTGCACAAAGCACCACTGAAGTTTGATAAGTCAATTAGGCCAGAAACAACTTCCAACTTTAATGAGCCAAAAATGTTTGGCCGGGAAGAAGAACTGAAGAACTTGGTGGCAGCACTAGGAGTTGTTCGTGCACCAAAGAGAGCAAGGACTGAAATCGAAGAGAGAATGACAGAGCTGCCTGTGTTTTCAATTGTTGGCATGGGAGGTGTCGGAAAGACAACAATGGCCCAACAAATCTGCAAGCATACAGATGTGAATAAGCACTTTGGCCCCGAGAATATAATCTGGACATGTGTTTCATATGATTTTGACAGAAAAAGGTTAACAAGAGAGATTATAGAGTCCCTGGGTGGAGATGCATCATCTAATAATCTGAATGTTCTTATGGGTAAACTAGAAGGCCATGTCAAGTCCAAAAAGTTCTTACTTGTCCTTGATGACGTGTGGGACGATATCTTGAAGGATCATGGGGCGGAATGGAACAGTTTGTGTGCGTCTTTGAAATATGGTGCTGAAGGAAGCAGGATTTTGGTCACCACTAGATCTCGTGGGGTTGCTAAGCTAGTTGGGCCTATGAATAGTTATGAGTTAAAGGGCTTACAAGATAAGGTATTTTGGGATTTCTTCAAAGCCTGTGCATTTGGATCCGTCAGCTCTTGCAACAACCGGGAGTCATTGGAGTGCATTGGTAAAGAGATTGTTCCAAAGTTGAAGGGCTCCCCATTGGCTGCCAGGACCATTGGACGCTTGTTGGCAGTGGATTTACGTACAGAACACTGGGAATATATAATGGAAAGTGAACTCTGGAAAATAGAACAAAAGGAGTTTGACATTCTGCCGGCCCTTCGACTGAGCTATATGTGCCTACCGCATAAATTGAAGAGATGCTTCTCAATCTGTGCAATATTCCCCAAGGATTACAAATTTAGGAGGGATTTTCTAGCTGATATCTGGATTGCACAAGGATATGTGGAGGGGCCCCAAGAAGCCTCTATGTGCTTTGATGCCCTTGCAAATCGTTCATTCTTTCAGAAAGCATCACCACATATTGACTTTTTTTTTAGAAAAGCATCACCACATATTGATGAGTATGTAATTCATGATCTGATGCATGATATGGCACAACTAGTCTCAGCTGATGAGTGCTTCATTATAAAGCATGCTAGGGACCTAGATAATGTTCCTTCAAATGTCCGCCATCTGTCAATATTGACAAACGGAGAAGTTCGATGTTCTGAATTGAAGAGCATATGCAACAAGAAAAAATTGAGGACCCTGATATGTGATGAATCATTTAGCAGTGCAGAAGATTTTGAGCCCGTGATAAACTGTTGGTTCAAGGAACTGTTGAAAATCCGTGTACTGAGTATTAAACTTTCCAGCGTAGTACAGCTACCAGAGAGCATGGGCAACTCAAAGCATCTGCGTTACCTTCGTCTTCTTGGAAGTTCAACTTCCTGCACATTTCCTTCATCGGCTTGTCGTCTGCATCGTCTCAAAGTGGTAGAGGGTGGTAGTTGTTTGATTCAAAGGTTTCCCCCAGACTTCAGTGATGCCATCAGCTTACAGAAAATCAATTCAAAGGGTTTTGATTATAACAAGGACCACTCTGGGAAACTCTGCCTAAATTGGCCCGATTCGCAAATTCCTGAGACGGTGAAGATGATGGAAAACCAGATGGAAGTATTACCTCACTTGGATCTCCAACATTTGAGTGTAAATGGTTACGGAGGTGAATCTTGTCCTAGCTGGCTCCGGCCCAACCTGCTGCCAATGTTGCGCTCCCTTGAATTTCATAAGTGTGACAACTTGAAAAGCATATCATTCTTTGTCCCGTTGGAGGGATCAGTTGACAATACAGCATCTTCAGACAACCGTCTTGAAGAATTAGTCATAAAATCTTGTGGTCAAATCAATTGGCAAGGCTCGGTGGTCCTACCGACTTCTCTTAGAAGGCTAATACTTGATAGATCAGGCAATTTCATGGATCACTTTGTGAGGTGCTTCCTTGACCTCACCTCCCTCACTCATTTGTGCATAATTCGCTGCGAGTCGTTGACATCTATACCCCTGCATGTGTGGAGAAGCAATCTTCCATCCCTGGAGGAACTATATATTGGTTATTGCGTCAACCTTACATCAATGATCTCTGGAGGAAGTAGTAGCACCAGCAGCAGCGATGTTAAAGGATTCTCATCCCTTGCCAAGATCCATATTGAGAGGTGCCCCAAATTATTGAGCATGGATGAATCTTGTCCTAGCTGGCTCCGGCCCAACCTGCTGCCAATGTTGCGCTCCCTTGAATTTCATAAGTGTGACAACTTGAAAAGCATATCATTCTTTGTCCCGTTGGATGGATCAGTTGATAGTACAGCACGTTCAGACAACCGTCTTGAAGAGTTAGTCATAAAAGCTTGTGCTCAAATCAATTGGCAAGGCTTGGTGGTCCTACCTACTTCTCTTAGAAGGCTAACCCTTGATAAATCAGGCAATTTTATGGATCACTTTGTGAGCTGCTTCCTTGACCTCACCTCCCTCACTCATTTGTGCATAATTCGCTGCGAGTCGTTGACATCTATTCCCCTGCATTTGTGGAGAAGCAATCTTCCATCCCTGGAGGAACTATATATTGGTTATTGCGTCAACCTTACATCAATGATCTCTGGAGGAAGTAGTAGCACCAGCAGCAGCGATGTTAAAGGATTCTCATCCCTTGCCAAGATACGTATTGAGAGGTGCCCCAAATTACTCGGCATGGATGAATTGCTCAAGCGAGATTGTGTACCTGGCGTGAAGACCATTTGGGTTTTCTTTTGTGGAGAGTTGATGTCCCTCTGTGTTGATAGGCTCGAGGGGTTGGAAGATCTGCTAATTATAGGTTGTCATTTTAAGTTGGATTCGCGGAGGGTAATGATATTACCATCGTCTCTTAAGAATCTCCGTGTGGGGTGTTGTGAGGGCATAGAATGTATCAACCTCGCCAATAGCAACATGGCAAGTTCTGCACCGGTGCTGGAGGAACTCAGCATTACGTCCTGTCCAGGCCTCCAGTCCATTGGTGGTGCAGCAGCTGTTGATAAAATAAAGAAAGTGAATATAAGGTGGTGCCCCGAGCTCAACGAGATACAGCAGCCACTCTGCCGCTGGTATGTGCAACTCCATGCAATGATTGGCAGTTAAATTAATTACTGTATTTATTTATGCACATAAGTTGTTGTTTAGAATTTGAGTCTTCTTTGATTAGATAGCATGCATGTTAAATCTTGCTATGTAGCTCATGAAATAAATAAATAAATAGATTTAGACCTTTCAGTTCATTAACCTTTTTCATTTGTCTAGCCTTGTTGGCACTGCTGATGCTGAAAATTGGCACGAGAAGTACGGGGAAGAGGTTCGACCGGCATAGGGCACATAGGCAAGAAGATGCTGTTGGAGGAGTGTGAGGGAAGTAAATTAAGGGCCGCCCTTTGATGCTCCAGGAGGTTGCTATTAGCTTGTATCAATAATAGCAGCAGTACACAGTTGCTTGCTAGTATCTGTCAAGGTAGAGAAGAGAAACTGAACCTTGAGTGAGATGTTTGTGTGTGTCTCCTTCCTGTATTTCAAATTCCCCGCTGAAGCGTGTGTTTCGGTGGAAAAAATCCTATTTGTTGTTCCTAGCCAGCTTATTTACCATATTGTCACAAACCTGGCAACTTGTTACTGTAAAATAATTTGCGACTCAGAAGTCCAGAATTCCTTGTTATATTTACTTGTAATAGTATGTAGTGAATCAGACGCACGCACTCGTTCATCTTTTGCTAATTTCGTCATCATTACTGAAATGCGATGGCAAACTAGTTTCGTCATCATCTTTTGCTTCACTTCATTTACTGTCATGGACATGGAGAGGTGACAGCGCTGCCTGGATGAAATTGCCATCGCCATGCATTACATAACAGATGACATTGATCTTCAGAAACATCCAAGCAACATATATTGAATGTGTTTTGCCTGCGGCTGTTGTCCCTCACACGCGAGCAAAAACAGAGGAGTACGCACACTCGGGTTCCACCTGAAGTCCTGAACCAGAGAGGTTGGGAGATGTCATTAAGATAAGCTAAAACGGCAGCATGATAACACCATTATTTATGTGCATTTACACATGAACCACCATGCACGGTAACGAGATTAGCAACTTTACACGTCGCCAATATTAAGTACTCCTTCCGTCGCGTTTTTTACACTACACTAGTGTTAAAAATGCTCTTATATTATGGGACGGAGGTAGTACTTTTGACAGCTAACTAATAAAGGATATAAAGTATACATCTGTTCAAGACAAAAACTGACAATAAAAAGAAACTTTTTTGGTAGGTCTAGTTAGTGATGCTAATTAATTAGAGTGTTTCTGTGTTTCATTTCTTGACATGTAGGGAGTATAATTGAAGGATAGGAGCACATCTATGCACTTCAATCAAGGAGCAAATTGCCCACATCTCTGCACTTGTCATTTCCAATACGTGTCACAGTTTACACACTGCACCATTCCAATGATTATACACACTGCTCAACACAAGAATCACCAAAGCATCTATCGGGCTACTGCTGCATTCATTAACCACACTTTACCACAGGATCATTACTAAAACTCTAAGCTCCCTGTGAAACAAGCCATGTGGTTGATCGAGGCTGTGATGGGCCCATGAGACCACCCTGTGGGGTAGTATACTCCCTCCGGAAAGAAATATAAGAGCGTTTAGATCACTAAAGTAGTGATCTAAACGCTCTTATATTTCTTTCCGGAGGGAGTACATTATTTATTTTTGTTTTTTGACCTGGACAGTATGTACATTTTTTTAGGGTAGGTATGTACATTATTTGATACTAGCTAGTTTGGGCTGCCTGCCTTACAACTTAAGCAAACTAGCCACGGTAAAAAAAAAACTTCTAGAAATAAAGCTACAGTACAAAACCACCACAATCTCAGTTCCCAGGTTTTTTTTCCTCACTAATATGTGAATCATGGAAATATATTTCCATCTAATACCTAATGCATGTAGATATGCTTTCTGATATAGTTTTTTGCGAGGAAGATATGCTTCCTTTTTTTGCGGGGTGAAAGAGAGTTTTATTTCATAAAAGCAGGGTTACAATCTTGAGCCAGCTGCTCCTCACAACACGGAGGACTCGAACTCAACCATACCGCAGTACAACACTCGGTACGGCTATAATGTGCCAAAAGATGAGCTACCCTGTTTTGATCTCTACTAATTTTCAGAGGAACAAACTCCCTATCAACCAGAAGTGCCTTAATCTCGGCATCTAAATGACCATAGACCGACCTAGATAATGTGTCACCCAAAATAGTGGCTAGAGCACATGAGGAATTCGATTGGACAATCACTGGTTTATCCGAGTGCTTAATGGCCAGTGCCATTCCTTGCATGAGGGCATGAATCTCTGATTCCAGTGCATCATTGCAATTGAAGATGTACCTGTAAGCACCAAAAATATTTTCAGTGGTACCCGCGCTTTCCTAATCACACTCCAGATTGGTCGATCACCCTCCGGCCTTGTGCTACTAGCGCCCCCTGCATGAACCACATCATGTGATTCGGTAGCAAGTTTATAGGCGGATTTGATTGTAAAAACTCCACGCGGCTCTGGAAACCAACCGATAAAATCCTGCCTATTTCTTGGAGATGTACAAATTTTCAGTATTTCTACTACGTCCATTGGCCAAAAATGCTCCTCGAGCCGGTCGACCAACCAAGCTCCGTTCATGTCCAGAAAATCAGAGACCCTATTAAACCGACAGTTCCTTTTGGGAGTTATAGGTCGAAAATCAAACCGCCGAGGAATCCAAGGGTCTCTCCAAGTTCTTACCAGTGTACCATCTCTGATTCTCCATATTATACCTTTTTTTACTAACTCCAAACCGTGAGCTATGCCCTTCCACACCGCTGAAGAGCTTCCTGTAAATACAGTATCAATGAGACTCCCATTAGGGAAATACTTTACCTTTAGCAATCGTGCACATAAGCTATCTGGTGATTCGATAAGTCCCCATGCTTGCTTTGCTAGTAGTGCCTGGTTGAAAGCACGCAAGTCTCTGAAACCCATTCCACCTTTGCACTTTGGCAATCTCAGCTTGTCCCAACTTAACCAAGCCATCTTCTTCTTACCCTTCTGTACACCCCCACCAATATTGCCTCATTAATTTGGATACATGGAAATATGCTTCCTAATTATTATTTTACTTCCTTCCTTATGGGTGTGCTTGTGACTGCTTCTTTAAAAAAAATTATCCTTCTAATCTTTCCTATTGTGTATTCCTTCGTGAAAATTTCATTCCTAATCCGCGAATCGTGAATATGCTTCCTAATCTGTGAATCATTGATTTCGTGCTGATGCATAAAAATCATGGGCCCGAATTTGTTTGTTCATGAGATGGTGAGGGAAAAAATGGGCATATTATTCTCTTGATTTATTTTGTTCATGATCGAGGTGAAACACGTAAAGATTAAAATTTCCTTTTCTTAATGATTATGGTAGAAGCATAAACTCTTAGATAAGAAATGCTAACATGGTCATATTTTTAATAACAAAATTATGTTTTACTTATGTGAGAAACAAGAAGACCGAACGAAAAAGTGCATAATGGGGACTCCTAAACTAGAAGACTAAGGTTACGAGGGAAGCCAACAATGTTTCTCTATCAAGGGTGATGCTTAAACCCAAGGTCATTGCCCTTATTGAGAGGGCGGGGAAGGGTTTAACACTAGTTAAGGCTTAGCCCAAACAAGCAAAACCAAACCAAGTTAGTCAATCGTAACAGCCTATTGACGGAATAAAAATAAAAATCTTCAACACAAACCAACACAGTTAAGGCGCTCACTGGATTTTTTTTTTTTTGCGGGACACTGGAATTTGGTTGGAGCTACCTTCTTCAGTTGGGGTTATTGCATCCCAATGAGGTATACATACCCTTTTCTTTTTACCGTACGTACGTGTTCGGACATTCTTTAATGACCCAAAAGCACTTGTGTCTATCTAAAGTTGTTCCTTTTGTTTCATGGACGGGCAACAGTAAAAGAGAGAGCCTTCCCAGCTCAGTAGAAGGTAATGATGCGAAAAATGCGAATGGAGGCCTCGCCCACCAACATGCAAAAACACCTATGCTTCGTACGTTGTTCTGACATGTACTCACATCATCGTGGCCCCTTGCGCATGGAGACCCGTGCGTCCTTGTGCATGCATGCTGCGGAGGATGCTCCCTGCAGGAATTACTATGCAGGGCCAGTAAAACAGCGCCACGTGCACCCTTGTGGGCCTGCTCCAGTTAATTATATTTACTTTTTTTACAGGCTCAAAAATTATTCTTTGAGAAGCTTCGCTCTTCTTCCTCACCTCGCCTACGACAAAGAACGAGATTTATTTCTCCCCTCCCTCACTTATCTGATAGAGAAAGAAACATGGGCATGAGACTGGTTCGCAAGATAGCTCCTGCTAGGCCACAGGGCCGTCTACGGCCACTGGATGATGGTTTGGATGCCGGCGACCGGCGGGCGGCAGCAACCGAGAAATAATTAAGCGCACAGGAGCATGACAATGGCATTGCAGATCTTCTGCTCCTTGGCTTACTAGTAGTTGTCTTGATCAAGAGTTGGCTAGGTGTATTGCTACAGAAGGACTTCATAATGTCACTTAATCTGAAGAAGACAACTGCATCTCGCCGAAATCAACACGGCGGCGCTCCACCGGACTTGAGAAAGGACGACTTCCAATCTCTCAATTTAGAGTGCTTCGGCTCAATTCCTGCGACAGTGAAGCAGACTGGGAGACTGGAACGCCGACGGCATGGGCCAGGAGATAACGGTGGCAGCATACTAGGACATCAGACGTCGCGGCGACGGGCGCTTCGTAGTGGCGGATAAAAGAGCGGAACTGCGGGCGTCAATCAACCGCACAGCGGCACATCATCTTACTCGCTGCTTCTCGAAAAAGGATTGTGATCAACTAGTGGGGCCGGCGAGCACTCGTCTACCCTAGAAATACAATTTAATTAACCAGATCTGCTGGCCCACCAGGGTGCACGTGGCGCTGTTTTACTGGCCCTGCATAGTTATTCCTGCAGGGGACCCTGCAGGTGAGCCGTGAAGAGAGTATAGAAGAATGAAGTGAAAGAGTGATTCATTG